GTGGGTTTGAACCGCCAGCCTTCTGGTTAGCAGTCAAGTGCCTTAGCCACTATGCTACCAGAGCTCCTTCCCTAGAGCTAGTGCCCTGAATTTGGATTTCTGGCCTCCTAAACTGTGAGAGAGTAAATCACAGAGAGGCTGTTTGTTAGAACCACCCACTTAATGGTATTTCTGTTACAGCAGCACTAGATGACTAAGCCAGTTGCCTTGAAAAAATTGGTGGCAGAACTGTGGATGTTAAAGGAGGTTCTGGCAAGTGCTTAAAGGAAATGAACACATTGTTGGAAACTAGAGGAAGGACAGTCCTTACTATACAGTGGCAGAAAACTTGGCTATACTGTTTGCTACAGTTGTATGGGAAGCAGAACTTGTAAGCAGTGAGCTTGGATATTTAGCTGAGGAGACTGTGAAGCAGTGTTGAAGGTGTAGCCTGGTTTCTCCGTGTCGCTTGTGGTGATATGTGAGAGGGAAGATACAAATTGAGGACAGAACTCCTGAGCCACAAGGAAGCAGCACTGAAGATTTGGGAAATTCGCAACAGTCTGGATTGCAAAGAATGCTAATGTTAGGAGTGTCACTGCTAGGAAGGTGTGCTCTGGAGAGAAGGCCAACATGACTGACCAACATTTTGCGGAAGAGATTTATGTGTATGACTCATGAACCCACTCAACCGTATCAGCAGAAGCCATGACTTGAGATGGGCTTATCCAGGAAAGATCTGTCGAAGACCATCCTGTCTCCATGACGTGGCTCTCTGTGACATGCACAGGAGATCCACAAGATTTTTTAGAACATTGTATCAGCAGAAACACTCCCAGCTTGGACTACAGGGGACAGTCGGGATGAAGTTAAAGGCTACTGGACTCTGAAAATCCTTAAGGCAGAAAAAGGGGGTGGGTGGGAGCTGGCTGGGGGGTAGGATATGGATCGGGGAGGGGGAGATGGTGTGGGAGTGGCAGCTGGCTGGGATTGGGGTGAAGCTTTTGTGGGGGTGCGGTTAAGGCTGTGGTGCGCTCAGTAGGGCCGGCAGGAGGGAGGTGTGTCTTACTCCCCCACCAGTGGTGTCTGGGGGCTCCCTGTCACCTGTGCTGTCTCATGTAACAGGGCACACCCTTCTGTAGCGGACTTGATTGTCTGTGATCCTTGAGAGCCTGAGGCTAGCCACTCAGCTGCAAACTCTGCATTTCTGCTACTTTCCTGTGCAGACCCCTGGGTTATATGCGGGGGGTGCAGTGGAAAGCCAGAGTGACACAGGGCTCCTCCTGCTGCTCGCCAGGTCCCTAGATGGCAACAGTGTCGTGGCTGCAGGGCTCGGAAAGGAAAGGATCCCCACCCCCGGCTGCTGGGGGCCTGCCTCACTGATGCTCGAAGGACAGGCAGGCAGTGCCCAGGAGCTGTATGTGAGAAGCAGAGAGTGGTGGCCAGGGAACAGCCAGGCGGGGCTGCAGCCCACGCGCTACCTTGGCCAGAGTGAGGGGCAGGAGCTGTGGTGGCCAGAGTGCCTGCCCATGGCCTCCCAGACACACAGGGGAGCAGCACAGTCAGGGGGCTCTGAGGGGCCTCCAGGAAGGGAAGGGCCCTCCTCGCTTCAGTGACCCATCTGAAAGGAGGTGACATCTCCGTACCAGAACCAGTGCCTGCGTGCTTTGGGGTTTATGTTGCACTGAAGTTCTTTTGCGGTACGATGTTGTCAGGTGCCGTCATGTCAGTTCCAGCTCGCAGCGACCCTGTGTACCACAGAACGAGACGCAGCTCAGTCGCTCAGCATCCTCACGACCCCCACTTGAGCCCCTTGTCGCAGCCACTGTGCCAGTCTGTCTCCTTGAGGGCCTTCCTCTGTCTCGCTGACCCTCCACTTCACCCAGCATGATGTTATGATATGAGGCAGAGATACATGAATCAGAGTCAAACAGTATTCTATTATGTGTTCACTGTTGTATGACTGGGGAAAAAGACCCTAAGAAGTTTTATCCTTTTAAACCAGAATAATTGGTAACTTAGTTGCTGAGCGTCAGGGGGGAGAGAGAGAGAGAGAGAGAGAGTATGTGTGTGTGTGTGTGCGTGTGTGTGTGTGTGTGTCCCAGTCTAAGCCCTCCCTCAGTCAAATCTCCCTCTTCCCACAGCTGGACATATTATGCAATGAGGAAATCTTGGGCAAGGACCACACCCTCAAGTTTGTAGTCGTCACTAGGTGGAGGTTCAAGGTAAGCTGCTGTTCTCCCGGAATCGTCAGTTGCACTTGATTTTCAGACTCTTACAAATGGACAGTTGCTTTTCTGTGCCTGCTTTTGACCCATGAGATGAAAACAAGTGATTCTGTTATGGGGAGGAGTGTTGTAAACACAGTAGCCATCTTTAAGAAATCCTCACCTCTGGGTACAGGCTCAGCTGCAGGGGTGGGGGCCTCCTATGTCAGAGCCTATGGGCCGTAGGCCCCGTGCCTCAGAGGCTGGGAACAGGAGGTCCTGCCCCGCAGGCCCCCTGTGTCAGAGAGCAGGGCTGCAGGTTCTACCCCACGTGACCCCTACAACAGAGGCTGGGGGCCACAGGTCCCCCCCACCGGCCGCCTCTGTCAGAAGCTAGGGCCACAGATTCCCCATGTCAGAGGCTGGGAGCTGCAGATCCCATCCCACAGGGCCCCTGCATCAGAGGCTGGGGGCCACAGGTCCTACTCTGCAGGCCCCCTATGCTAGAGAGTGAAAACCACAGATCTCACCCCACAGAGCCCCTACTTGAGAGGCTGGGGGCCAAAGGCCCCTGACGTCAGAGGCTGGGGGCCGCAGATCCCTCCCCGCAGGAACCCTGTGTCAGAGGGTGGGGGCCACAGCTTCTGCCCCGCAAGCCCTTGGTCAAAGGGGATGGAGTGATGGCTTTGTGCCAGTTGGGGAGGGTGTGGTCACTGTCTCTTTGTGAAGTGGGGGAACAGACAGATCAGTCAACATTTTGGGGCTGAAACTCATGGTTGCACCAAGGAGAGTGGTAGTGGAGAGACTCCCCCTGAGGCACGGTCACAGGGGGCTGGTTGGCATTGGGGCCGTGGTCCAGGCTGGAGGGGTGTGAGGAGAGAGAGAGAGGGGTGGCCGCGGGGGAGCTACAGCCCCTGCAGCGCCCACGGGAGGGCCCTGCGCCCAGGCCAAAAGGGGCTTGTTCTTCCCCACCTCTGTCTGTCCCCGCATTGCAAGGAGCATGCACATTCCTGCCGTCCCTGTGAGTGTGACGCTGTGTCCTGGTAACATTCCCAGACCTGCTTCTCGGGTCTCTTCATTCGCTCTGAGCCGTGTCGTCGTCCTCCCTGCCCCGCCTCCTGCTGAGAAGCCGGCTCTGTGTTTTGCAGAAAGCCCCTCTACTGCTGCATTACAGACCCAAGATGGACCTCCTGTGAGTGCCGGGGCCTCGGCCACACAGCACAGACTTGGCCCGCACACCCCGGCACCCTGCGGACAGAGCATGTGGCCGGGCAGGACTGCGCACGGCGACCGTGCTTCAGACAGAAGGTCGCCTCCGGGTGTCACGGGGACCAGGTTTCTGAATAGAGAATATTTATAACTTTTTGTATGAGGAGAATTCACAACCCAACAAGACACTACCAGCACCGTGTTTACAGATGATGACAACACTTCACAGTTCCATGTAGCCGACGAGCACTCGCCCTCGCTCTATGTCGCTGCGGGCGCACGCTGGAGGAAGTTGGCCTCTGCACAGGTGGCCTCTGCTTGCTGTCCAGCCCCGGAAAGTCTCACTTCAGTTTGGTTCGGTTTGAGTTCGGTTACATGATAAGCCTCAAACGTGTATACTTTTATTGACCCCTTGCTAAGTTATTGAAAACTGTCCTTTACATGGTGAATGACGATATTTATGTTGCCTTTAGCTTCCTGAAGACTTAGAAAATATATAAAAAAATGTAATTTAAAAGTATACCAAAAGAGGTTTCCATTAATAATTATGATTTAACCATGGTATTTCGTTTTCTACATAATAACACATAAACACAACAGGTCCCTCACTTGCCTTTGTGCTTTGTGACAGTCTGACACCATGATCACTTGGTGCAGCTGCCCACGCTCCTGGGGCCTATGGTGGCAGACACATTGCCCTCCCCATGGCCGGACGTGGGGCCTAGGTGGGCAGGAGGCACTTCCGTTAACCCGAACGTGCCCCTGGTCATGAAGACACGCTAGCATTCAGGTTCACTCTTCTTGTCGGTTCAGCAGGCTAGGCTTGAGGTGGCTTCCCTGGCATAACATTGGTTTGCAGAACAAGTCTTTCTTTTATAAATCCCTTTGATTAAAATGGGCACAAATGGTCCTCTGCCATCATTTCGTTTTTCGTTCTTGTTTTGCTGGAGAGGGGCAGGGTGCAGTTTGTGTTGTGTCCTTAGGAGCCCGGTTTGTAAGTGCTTCGGAACGTCACAGCTAAGCTGCGTGTGATGCCTGTGGAAAGCCAGCGCGTTTGCACGCATCCCACCTCCGACACCCACAGGCACACGAGTGGTTCCAACCACGGCCTGCCCTTAAAGCAGCTGGTGTCTGGGTGGTTTCTCCCCTTCCTTCCTCCCTGTTGATGGAAATTGCTTGTGTGCTTCATGGCTGCTGTGACGGAAAACGGTTTTGCAAGCTAAGCCTTAGAGATGTCTGGGGTAGGCAGGTGGGTAACTCGGAATGGAAAAATCATCCCGTTGGTGGAATTGCTTTCTCGGTTACTTAGTAGCCTCACAACGTCAGTCGCAGTCAGGAGACACTTTGGTTCACCACTGTCTCCTCCCAAATGTTAATTTTTGCTGAATTAGAGAATAAACTGTTTCCAGCACGTGAACATTTGTTCCTGTAAGATAATAACCTGAAATTGTGAAGGCAAGAATGAGGAGAAAGGAGCCATTTTCTGGAGTGGTTCAGGTCTCGACTTGGAGTTTTCCTTGTTGTCTCATGAAGTTCCTTCATCCAGATGTTCCATGTTTATGTCTTGGTGAACTTTTGGGTTCCTTCTCCCCTTTTTACTTACCTTCCCATTATGTTACAGGATGAGACAGTGCTAACCACAGGTGCCGTGTGACCCAGACAAAGCTGTCTTGTTCCCAGGGGCTGCGGTGGGCACCACCTACCACCTCTTTTGGGGTCCCTGGGGCTCCAGTCTTCATGAAGTATTCCATGTTAGTGACTGGCGTTTTTTTTCTGGAATTTTTTTTTAAAGTTTCAGTTGGGCTCATCACCTTTCAACTTTGTTTGCCTTCTGCTTCCTGTCTCACAGACATGTAACGTTGGAACCAGCTTCTAGTGAGACCTAATTTTAGTCTTGAGAAAAGCATTCAAATTAATTCTGTCGAGTGATTTTACCGTAAGGCTTTGTCAAACATAGAAACAGGTTCTTTTCTGTTCAGGATCGTTCACCATTTGCCTGTTGATGGCCATCAGCCCCCAGTGCTGTGTGGATTGTCCCGTTGCCTGAGCTGGCTATTCACCCCAGTCATTTCTTAGGGTTACTGTACCAGGGTTTAAAGAGTAGATGTGTATGAGTGAATACTACCTGTCTACCTCAAAACACACATAGTGCTGAACCATCTGTCAAACCACGTATGCTTATCACATGCAGTTTTCAGTAGAATGTTAGAATGTAGGTATTTCTCACATGGTGAAACAGAGGAGAGATCAGACAGCATGAACATCCAGATTCAAATACAGTTAACTCACGTTCAGATTGAATTTAGTATGGCTGTAGTACTCTCATAATACGTATTTGTAACTTTGTAGCTATCTTTGAATCACTTGAATTTGCTATGGTGCTAAGTTGATAAACTCAAACATACAGAGAGATGGCCGATGCCAGTGTGAACATCTCCGTCGGGTCGCCCGCCATCCCCGTGCACTTCTGCTTTCGTAAGCGCATTAACCTGAGAAAACCTCAGCCGCCAAAGTACCTATTTTTCTAAGCTCCCATCGTGTCAGACAGCCGTCACTCTGGGACGACTCCCTTGGTGACCTGCCTCTGGCTTCACTGTGTAGCCTTACTTAGTCGGAAGGGTGGAAGAGAAGTGAGCCCCGCCCTCACCATCAGAGGGGGCGTCCAGGTGGGTTCCTTTCATTGTTTCTGTTACACCTTCATTCAGCATCAAAAGGCTGACTTTTCCTTTGCTCCAGCACAGAGCCAGGATCGGTTAGTGATTGGATCCTGTCGAGTCTGCTTCGTGTGTTTGTTTTAACAGATGGAGTTACTGTGAAGTAGTTCTCTCAACCATGTACGCTGGTAAAACAAATGCTCTTAAGTGATCAGCAGTGGGGCTGACTCCCCGGCACCCGGTCCCACTACATACAGTTTTCATGAAGATAGAAAATGCAGATAGAATATATAATATTGAATTTAAGAATTGGGGGGGAATTAAAAAAAAAAAAAAGAAACTTTATAAGATTATTTATTCTATTTTAAGCCTTCTATCATATTTTCCATCCGTTGTTTGGTTTCTGTGACCCAGCTTTATTTACAGGCATATAAAATGAAATTGTGAGATGTTTTGCAAGCTTCTTTTTCCTTTGAATAGCTTTTAATTTGTGAGTTTTTGTTTTTTATGGATGAAGAGCATTTTTCATGCTTTTGTGCAATAGGTTCAAACTTGCATTAATTAGACAATATGTTTCAATTACAATGTAGCATCTGTTCTGCTAAGGTGGAAGGGAATGTGGGTGCAATTTCAGAATATGTACATTCAGCTATTTGGTTTTTCCTTTCTCGTTGTTAACTATCCTAAGAATGCTGTTATCGGGATTGTGTGGGTGTGTGTGTGCACGTGTGCGCGTGTGTATGCAAGAACTCTGTCAGCAATACTCAGAAAGTAACGATGGGGCGAGCATCACCTGATGTACGAGCAAGCTTGTAGACCAGCCTCCTGGCTGCCCTGTCGAGCCGCCGTGGGCCGGCCCGGGTGTCCACGTGGCTGCGCCTCAGTAGACTCACCACTGCCACCCCCAGGCACGCGAGACCACACTCAGGTGGCAGGACAGTGCTGCTTCCCTGGGGGCCCCATGCCCACCTGTGGCACGTACCGCAGTCTTGGAGCTTTGCTTGTTTTCCACAGGATACGCAGGGTGGTATCGGACAGTGATCCGAAATGGATCGTTGGGTTAAAAGTTGTAGGAACAAGCCGGCTGATTTATATGTTGTATATGAGTATTCGATACCTTCTCTCAAAACATTGAAAAGTCAATGTCACGCGCACAGCTGAGGTCACAGACACACAAACCAGTCCACACTCTTCTATTTCCTCAGGAAAGCATTGGCGCTCCTTCACGTCACGTGTGACCTTAACATGATAAACCAATGTGCTTCTCTGCCTTGCTACTTAATAAACTAGGTAGATAAATTGGGGTTAAGTAGACTAGAAGTCCATCATTCGTCTTCGTAAGTATCTTGTTCCCTGCCAGGCACCAGCCAGCCGGGCTACCCGGCAGCTCGGGTAGGGCTTTCCCCGGCAGAATCTGGTCAAGGGGTCTGCAGCCACCTCCTTCACGCCCACATGTACTTCACGCAGGTCCGGGAGTGTACTCAAAGAATGGACTCAAGCTTGAGTGTCCCCTAAGATGTATGTGTAACATTAGTGTAAATGTCCCCTCCAGTACCTTAATTGGGTATAAGAAACACGTTTTTCCCCAAATGGAATCAAGTTAGGGTTAAGGGACAATAGCTGAACCAGTAAGCCTTTATCATCAGCGTGTGGCAAACGAGATTAGGGCTGTCACTCACGGTTTATGGAAGGGATTACACAGACACACATTTTTAACTGTTTAATTTGAAAGTTTACATTTTTTTTTTTTTATGCTTTGTGTTGGTGTGTAATTTTTGTACCCTTGGTGGCTGGTTTCTGTCTACAATTTTTTTGGACTATTGCTTAAATGTTTTGATTTTATGATAGTGAAGCTTGTATTCTGTGTTTTGCCAATTAATATTATATGCTTGTAATAAAAGCAAATGAAAAACTAAAGTTCTTTCAGGCTGGAAATTTATTATGTGAAATCTTTGTAAGTACGTACAATGACAGAATGTGGTACCGAGAGAGTAGGGTACTTCTCTGACAGATACCTAGAATGTGGAAACATGAGTGGAGTGTGTCCTTGACCCAAGACCCCAGCAGAGAGACCTCGGCATGTGGCATGAGAGACAGCAGGAGCAGAGTCCAGAGACCGGCATGAGAGATGGCAGGAACAGAACCGAGAGAACTGGCATGAGACAACGACAGGCTTACCAGCCCAT